TTTCTTTTTTTATGTAGAAGTACTGCTATTTATTCAGCCACTGATTAAGCTGTTTGAATTGGGCATGAACTCCACCTTACTTTTTTTTTCTTCATTTTTTATAATTTTATTTATTGAATCACCATCAGAGCAGTTACAAAGCTTTTGGGTTTAAGTCTCGGTCATACAATGAAACACCTGTACCTTCACCAGTGCCCATTCTCCACCCTCATAAACTCCAGTATTCCCCTATCCCACATCCTGCCCCTCCCTGTGGGGCAGATGATTTCCACATTACTCTCTCTCTACTTTGATTATTTTCAATATTTTGACACCAGACCCACCATTATTATTTGTGATTTTACCCCAACACTCAGATCTGCTTAAAAGGCAACAGTGTAAAATATGTTTTCTTTTTTTTTAAAATTTGTTTTCTATTTCTGATTATGAATAACATATGATGTTGCCCGGCTGCAGTAGTGGCCACACGATTTTGAAATTCTGAAATTTTAACACTTAAATCTGGAGGGATTTCTGCCAAAACCTGCTGGGTTCCAAGATTTGTTCCTGAGTCTCTGGGATTATGGCCATTAAGCAGCTTGATCAGGAGCCAGAGAGGCTGTTCGTGGGTCACAACTCGAGGTCTCGCTGGGGTGAGTAGGAAAGGGCCAGCTCCAACCCCATCCCTTGAGGCCCCACATGTCTCGTCACTGTGGGTACAAACATGACTGTCCAATAGCCTCTGGTGGATGTAGGCCACCAAGCTGCCAAGAGGGAGCAGGTGGAGGAACAGTACCCTCTCCCCACTGGGGTGGCCAGTGACAGTAACCTACTGCATGGTCTGGACACATTTCTACCAAAAGCTGCTGGGTTTCGAGATATGTTTCTGAGTCTCTGGGATCATGACTGTTAAGCAGCTTGATCAGGAGCCAGAGAGGCCGTTTGTGTGCGACGACTCAGGGTCTCATTGGGATGGGGAGGAAAGGGCCGGTTACACCCCCATCCCGTGAGGTCCCACATGTCTCGTCACTGTGGGCCCAATTCTGACTGTGGCCTCTGGTGGATGGCGGCCACCGAGCCGCCTAGAGGGAGTAGGTGAAACCACTGAATATTTCTGAGTCAACTGAGAAACAAAGGAATATATACTAACCCATCTCTGTTTCAAAGAAACCTCAGTAGGACATCAAAGCTGAGGGAATGGAGAAAAGTCTCCATTCAGAAGGAATGTTCATAGGAATGAGATAAGGCTCAGTGACAGCTCAGTAGAACATGACACAGAGTGATATCAAATCTGCTTCTTTGTTTCTTATTCAGGCATTTTGTTCCTTGCCCCTTTAACAGATTGCTGGATACAAGCTATTCATTAGAATTTTCTGGCATAACTACATTAAAAAAAAGAAAAGAAAAGAAAGGGAAAAATATACAGAGGATGAAAGTTATACCTTCAAGGATTCTAATTTACTTTGTAGCAGTTATACCATTGTTACGCTTGGGATAGAACCCAGATCCTGTAATTGCAAAGCAAGCACCCTACCCGCTGTACTACCTTTCCAGCCCCTATCACTACTTTTTATAACTGTCTGCATTTGCTTCATAAAGCCACATCTTCTACTCTGTACAAAATAAGTCTTGTTTTAGTTTCCACTGTTGCATAATAAACATACAAAATCACAAATTTAGAAGTTTAGAACAACAGTCACTTGATAGTCAGAGCCTATGTTTTCTGCTCAGGTTTAAAGTGAACTAAAAGGTGTCTGACTTGAAGTCTCTGGGGATGAATCCATTTCCAGACTGATTCAGATTCCTAACAGCAATCTAAGATGATTTGATTATACCACAATCCATTATCCAATCTATTGCTGATGAATGTTTGGGTTATTTCCAGTATAAGAGGTATTTCAAAAAAGGTAGCTATGAATAACTGCTACGTATGTATACATATATGCATACACACACAAAAGTCTATATATTTGTTCAGAATATATGCATTCAACCAGTCTCACAGGCAGGATATGTACATATTTAATATGGCAAATAACTTCCCAAATTATTTATATTCATTTTTACAATATCAGTATATTGTAATTCTTTATGTTGTCACTTTTTTTTACCAATAGTTGGTATTTTCTGTCTTATTTTGGTTGTTTTTTACCATCAGCTTTCCACTCCTGACCCCAAACAAGCTTCCCAGGTGATTCCAATTTTCAGACATAAATGAAAACTTGTTTAATTGCTGTTATCTCTTATTGGTTTCGACCACATTAAATTGTATATGCAGGTGAAAACAAAACTAAATATTTGCTATTTTATATAACTAAAACTAATATTCTCTTCAAAACATATTCATATTTGTACTAAAAATGAAACGGACGCACTCATCAGTGGGGAAAGATTGAGATAAAGTTTTAAAATTACAAATGGATTTTAGTCTTCTATATTTTAATACCAAGTAGATCCTTAAAAGCTTGTAAACAGTCGTTTTTAACCTCTATTGCAGATTTGACTTAACCTCTTAAAAATATAAATATCCCCTACACAAATCCTTAGAAATCCTCATGTATGTGACTAGGTTAGGGTTTAGGAATGTGTGTTTGTAAAAGACTCATGCACAGCAATGGTTGAAACCATTGATGGTGGATATCAAATGGATTTCTTTTTCAGTCTCACAATCTAAGGTGAGACATAATGCTTTGGTAACTTTATAAACATTGGGGAGTGGGGGAAAAATACCTAGATTTCAGTTTCTTCCAGAATTGGGAATGCTTTACTTCCTCCTAGGTTGGAAAGATTAGATTACGCTTCTTAACTATTTCACTAACTATGTCTCTCTGCTGCACCAAGGATAGAAGGTATTTGTGTATTTGTTTGATTTGTACACAGCTCTATGGATTCAATGTTAAAATATCAACAATAAGTATTACACAGGTATTTTTAAGATACGTCCGTATTACCTAATTGGATGATTGAGCATGTATGATGTAACCAGAAAATCAGGGATATACATCCATACAAATCTGTCTTGTTGAAAAATACGGCCATGGGTACAGAGAAATGGTATCAGGGTCCAGATCTTGTCTTGTATGTGGCTGACAAGAGTGTGACCCTCAGAGAACCACCATGAATTATCCTTAAGCACAGAGCCAAAAATAGTAAATCCTGTGTACCACCAGCTGTGGTAAATATAAAGGATACAGCAGGAGCAGAAGCATGGCGTGCCAGGTCACTTTAAATCTCACCTGTGGAACAGGTAACTAATCAGAATAGATAATAGGATGGCTGGGGTGGGACCAGCAGCAGATAAAAGGAAGGCCCTGCCCCATCTCTCTCTGTGCATGCACTTCCTGAACTTTTTCCTCTTCCCAAGCCCCCAAAAACAGGGCTGTAGGACCGGAAACCATGCGATAGTACCCGCAGGTCCTTAGACACCCAGGTAGTGACAAGGGGCTGAGCACAGGAGTCTCACTCACATGCACATGGCTTTGTGTGGATACTAGGAAATCTGGGTTAGGAATGACAGGAATTGCAGGAGTACAGCTGGGAGGTCAAGCGACAGGTACAGAGCACAGGGATCTCACCCACGCTCATGGGGCCGTGGCCTGAGACTGAAAAAAATATACACAGGATAGACAGAGCCGCTCAGGGAGACTGCACAGGACCAGACAGCACCCAGGACAGGACCAGTGACATCATTCATGGGTAAAGGAGAGAACTGGCCATATGCGAAGGGACCTGGACATACCTATTTTACCTGTACAATATACTTTTCAATCTTTTGTAAGCAATATTTTATAGTATTCTCAAGAACCTACCACTGCAGGAAAGCCCACTTCTGTGCTAAAATATATATCACCAACATAGACCACATACACACAAAATAGGCAGTCATCTGGGTACTTTTATTGTTATTTTATAGTTCAAACATTATGGGGGCTAGGTGGAAATTGCACCACATTTCAGACTTTAAGGTCCTTAGTTGTTTTAATCCAGTCGACAGCGGGGTTTGTGGAAGGTCATCTCTTACCTCAACAGCCTCAAACTTACTCCACAGGTAGGCAGATCTAAGCTTGAGGACTTACTAGTTCACAAGCTCTCCCAGATCTGAAATACCGATGGCCCTCCACAGGACTCTGCATTTTGCTTCTTAGTTTACATCATTCAAACATCCAGAGTCAGAAACCAGGTTCCAAGTTAGCAGAAGCCTACCTGTTGGCTACTGAGTGTTTTGGGGTCCCTCTCATGGTTCACCCAGGCCAGGCAAGCTGAACCCTACTCTCTTCTAGGAAGCCTGACAAAAGGCCCTCACCCTACCCGCCAAAGGTGGAAGCCTGTTTCCCAGACTTTACTCCTAATGACCCTGAAGAATTGATGCCTGCTGGGGATTTTTTTTCCAGCCACGCCCTTCTCGTGGTGTTTAGCCACGTCGGAAGACCAGAAGACACTTTATCACCTGGCTGCTCCTCCCCCCCACCCCCCGCCCCGCGCTCACCCCACCCCCCAACCGCACCCATCCCAGCCAGCCGAGAAACAAGTTTCAGCTGCACCCAGTGTAACCCGGGCGCTGTAGCCCGGGCGAAGAACCACAGACGGCTGGAGGCTTTGCTCTTCTAAGTGGATGACCGAGGCGGCCAGCGGGCACGTCCGGAAGGTCACGTCCCAAACCCGAATGAAGTCAGTCCACCACCGCTAGAACCCTGCCAGGTGCTCACCCTCCCGGTGAAGGACTGGGAAGGCTCAATCACGAGTCTACTCTGAGAGCCCGAGGAAACCCAGCGTGTGGCATTTTGGGAAATGTAGTCCCCCCACCACGTCCAGGGACGAGGGGTCTCGGGTCTGCTCACAAGGCCAGGCCTCCGCGAGGGATGACACGGCCAAGAAAACCTGAGGGCAGAGCTGTTCCCAGAGTGTGATCGCGAGTCCGAACCCCGGGGAAGATTTGGGGGTGCTATCCGGGCTCGGGAAGAGTCACGGGAACTACATTTCCCAGAGTTCCCCGCGCCGAGCTGGCAGCCGGCTGCCTCGCTTTTGCGTGAACGCGGCAGGTTGGTCCTGGAGCAGATGAGCGCAGACTATTTAGGCGAGAGCGCGAGGAGGGGGGAGCGCGGGGCAGGAGGAGTACCTCGGCCGAGAAAATTATGCATGCGTTAGGGAAGCTCTGAGAGAATGGCTGTGGAAGGTAAGGGACGCTTGGGCATTTTAAGCTCCCTCTTAATCCGCGAACCCCCAGGACCACACATCCCTATTGAAGCTTGGGGGGACGTGGGGAGGAGAGGAGAGAGGGTGGTGGCGAGAGGGCCCTTTCCTCCTACCGCTCCTGGCACTCACCTGCGTCTGGGAAGGCCAGTGGGCGTTTTGTTCAGTGGCCCTGCAAAAGGCATGTTAGGTGCGCAGGACTCACGGCGTGGAGGCACAGAGTGACCCTAAATGACAAACGGTGAGCTGGAAATGGAGGGAAAGGCAGAGAGGTCGGCATGAGGTCTCAGCCTGGAGCTGTCCCTTCCCCTTCCCTACCCAGCCTGGACCCGCTGGGTGGCCCTCCAGGTTGGGGATGCTCGCTTTGCACCCCGCACGTGAGAGAAGACCCTAGCCAGGTGCGTCATTGAGAAGCAAGGACTGCGATTGGGTCGAGGCCCCCACGTCGAGTGCACCAGGCAGCAGATGTACCCAGAGGGTGGAGGTGTCCCCACACCTGGCTCTGTTTATACAACCCTCTGAGCGTTAGCAAACTTTACAGAGACAGAATGAATCAGCCAGAGAAAGAAAATCCAACCAGCCTCTTCAGTCTAAGAAAAATCATTGTCTTTCAAGCCCACCTTCCCCTGATTGGCTTTGGGTTTGGTTCTCCTAACCTGCCTCCTGTGAACTTTCCATCTCAAAGCTTGGGACAGGTGGTTTGTGGAAGGTCCCGAGTTTTGTTGTTACAGATTCTTTGACCTGAAAACACAGGCTTTCTCCTTAGGGTGGCTGGGGGTGGCGGGTGGAACTTGAAAACTAGACTTACTCTCTCAGATCAGAGGTCAAACTGCCTAGATGCTATAATGAAGTGAGCTCTAGTTTGGGGACTCAGGGGTCCTCCGTTCACTGACAGGAGCATGGTTTGGTGTGTGGCTCAGGTCAGAAGGGTACTGGAGCTGGAAGGCGAGCACATCTCTACTTGCAGGTGGGAAATGAGACTGTAACTTGTAATCTAAAAGCTAGGAGGAGGAACCAGGAAAGGAAGGGGGGAGGGGTAGAAGTAGAGAGAGAGAGAGGAAAGGAGAGAGAGTAATTATTTATGTTAAGTGGCAATAGCACAGCTCCTATGCTTAGCATCCATTAGCTAGGAAATCTGTTGACTTAGATTATCTCAGATCAGAGATTCCTTCCCCAGTTAACAATTTGTAAATATCCCTCTTTATACTGTGTGTATATATATGGGTATATACTATATATCTCTTCATATGGGTTTGAAAGAAAAGACAGCCAGATTTCTAGGCTTTATATGTGCAAGTGCAATAATTGGGTAAGGATCTGGTTTTCTGCATTATTAAAACACGGTTACACAAGACTTCAGACTTGAATATAAAAAATAATCGCATAAAATTCTTTTTGAACTTGAGGTCTCGGTTAAGTTCACAACTGGTATCCCTTCTGTTTGGATGACGTTGATTAGTAATATCTTCCGTTTTCACTCTTCTTTGTCTCTGAATGAGTGAGCATGAGGAAACTCCCTCTGGTTGCCAGTCTACAATTGTACTTACACACAATTTCCTGTTCATTGTAGAAAATATGGAATTAGTCATATTTCTTGTCAGGTGGGTTCTTTTATACCTGCTAAGCTAGCAGTTACAGAAGTCATTGTCAATATTGTAACCAGGAGATCCTGAGCTTGAATCACAGTTGTCTCAACTTGAAGAATGAAGAAAATTCTTTAAACTCCGTGGCAAATAATAATCCCTATCTTTGGTATTGGTAAAGGCAGAGTTCTTGCCCTTGTGTCTCCTTTCAGTTGATCTTTCCAGGTCATGGAAGACGTCACATTCTTTGAGAACTTGTCCCAGATCCTAGCTTTCCGAACCCTGCTTTCCTAGTATTCTATTCCTATTTGTGGGAGCAAACTCCTTTGCTAAACTTCCCTGACCTGAAATTTGTCTTACTTAAATCTCCCACTGGTCTAAGGAATATTCCTGTGGAATTGGAACCATGCTATTTTTGACTTTATAGTCCTAGGATAACATAGTACCTGGCCAAAATAAGTGCTCAGCAAATACTTATAAAATGAGCAGGAAGCAGATTTGTGAAGTTTTTGTGTCTGACTCCATTGGGAACTTGGGAACTTTCTTAGTAGCCCGTGTACCATAAATGAATTTCTTTTGGAGAGAGCTGAAGGTAAGTAAGACTTTAGTAGTAGTGAATCTTTTGACAAAGAATTTTCTGGAGCAGTAGTTCTCAACTCTCGGGGGGTCACTATTCTCCAGAAGCTTGTTTGAAGGACTGGTCTTGGGGATTGTTATTGGTATTTTGTAGCCTTTTTTCCAGGAATTCTAAATGCCCCGCAGTACATGGTCACCCTTTACAAAGTTCCCACCACTGAACAAAAGAATGACCCATGTGCACAAACTTAGTGGGGAAAACTGACTCAGTAAAAAATGTTGCCAGAGGAACTGAATGTTAAATGTTGAATGAATGAATAGTAAGCATTCAACATTTAAGCTTTATTTGGTATATCTAGGGGATGGACACTTTTCCTATTTATTTTCCAGGATACCTTTTAAGATGAGGTATAAGAACAGGGCTTATAGGAGGACTCTAAAAACTACGATCTCACATAATATTGTTTATACCTCTTCCCATCTTATTCAAAAGCTGTACTATTTGCCATGTATCCTGAATTTTCACTTCTTTATACCACTCAGCCTAATTAGCAACACATTAGACAGGTTTTTACAATGTGTAACTTTCTTTCCTAAATAAACTTGAACCTGTAGAATCTAAAGAGCACGTAGGAAATTCATTCATGTTGCTGCACCTGTCGCCTTGAGTTTTAGATGAAAAAGAGGTGCCCTTTGTTTATTGCTTTATGGTTACCCAAGGCTATACTTTCTTCTTGAATTTAATTACCACATCCCAGGTATAGTCCCAAGTTTGAGTATGACCTCTGCCTTACATTTATAGGTTTCTAGGCACCTTAGAGTTGCGCATTCCAACTCCCCAAACCAGGGTCCAACTTTATGGCCTGCTTTTAGCTTATATTATATTGGCATCCTGTTATCTCTGAAAAACAAAAAGAAACAGTGCAAACGTATTATAATAAACTACTCCTAATAGTTGGAAAACTAGTATCTCAGTAGAAGGGGGTAGCTAACAAACACCTTAGAGTAATTCATTCTATATAGATGGTTGTACAGATGCCTTTGCCAATTAAGGCAATTCTTTCCAACAGAAATGGGTTACATCTTTATGCAGAGAGTGGAAGGGGGCATGGATTCTTCAAGCACAGTGCTGTGTTTATTGTGTATCCCAAGAATGGTGCCTGGCACGTTGGGGACCACAGTAATTGTTTCATAGATTAAGTATGAATGCATCAGATAAGACAACTTCCTTGCTTATCCTTGCTTCATCTTCAGAGCTGTGTTAGAAAAGTGGTGTATATGAACATTGTATGGAATGTTTTCATTCTGGCTCTAACAGTCCCTCTTTCAGAGCAGGAAAATGATTTCCAATATTTAGAGCCAACCCCATCTCCCTCCAAAAGATTTCAAATGGAAGGATATTCAGTCTAAGTGACATCTGTTTTCAAGGAATCTGAGTTCTCCATCTTTTTTTTTTCTTTTTTTTTATTAGTGAAAAACCATGAGGTACAGTTATAGGCTTACAAATTTTGTGCTTGGGTTTCAGTTATACAATGATCAAGTCCCCATCCCTCCACCAGTGCCCGTCATCCATCCCCATGGGTCCCAGCATCCCCCCCCCCTCATCCCCCCCCCCCCCCGTCCCATCCTGCCTCTGTGGCAGGGTATTCCCCCTTGTTCTCTCTCTCTTCTTTTGGGTACTGTGTTTTGCAAGAGAGGCTTTGAGGGAGTTCTCCATCTTAAGTGAACAAATTGGTTCAGATTGACCTCTGAGTTCTTGGACCGAGACCAATTTTACTCATTTTATAAGTGGAAAACTATGAACCAAATGCTGTCAAATTTTGTGATAATGGTCCCCAAGAGAAAGGGGAAACACAGTATTAGGACACTTGTAGCAAAGAGGAGAAGCAGTTGTGATGAGTCCTGAGATTTGTGACCCTTGTAAATGATCACTTTACTCTATTGGAATTCAGAACTAAGTTTCAGAAAGTGAAAATGGAAGCTAAATCTCATATTTATTACAGGGGAACTTGCATTATGCTTTCTGGCTTTAGGTTGAATGGTCAAATGGGATTGCAAATATAGTAGCCCAGGAGTAAATTTAGCCCTCATAGATGTACCTGCGTTTGTGACACTGATGGCCCAGACCAGAGGTAAAATGTTCCCCTACAGCAGACAAGGGGGGTGTCCAGAGAGAGAGAGAGAAGCCGGAGTTGGCTGTTTTGTTCTCTTTCATTGACTTGCACATCTGTAGATGTCTTCAGATCCCAGGAGAGAGACTGGATGTACCATTTCTCATGAATTTTCTTTATGGCACCTGAGTGAAGAGGAAGGTGGCATTCTGAGTATTAGCCCACCTCTGTTCCCAAAATGTGAATTCTGAATGTACCTTTACTTGGTGAGGCAGGCGTTAGGTCTGACTGACAGTAGACTTTGCATGGAGTATGTTGGGGAAAAAAAGAATGAATGAATGATGAATGAATGAGTCAGATTATTAGTATAGCTGGTTTCCAAAAAAGCTTCCTTCCCACCCTTACAGAGAACTCCCAGCTGTGTTCTCCAGAGTCCATGTTGTAAAAGTAGAGTACTCTGAACAAATTATTCTGACTGATGCTGCGTGTGCTTCACTGTGGTGTTAGTTCTCAGAGATTTTCTTCCAGTGCATTTATCAGAAGGTGTTTTTATTCTCCATTTTTTGCTAATTTATCATTAGATTAAAAATAACATAGAATTTCAGAATTATAGCTTAACACCACTCTATAGGTAAGCATTTCACTGTACATACTACAAAGCTTTAAGAGTCATTCGACCTTCATTCCAAAAACCCTATCCATTCCTCCTACCA